TTCCCCGTCGGGTACCTCGTGCATGCACCTTCCCCTTCCTTCACTGCCCATCCTCCGAATGTTCCCAAGTATCCCTGGTCGATCCCATATGTCGTCTGAGCCACGGCCCTCACGGTACCCCGACCCTCAACAGAACCCAGGGTCCTCGCTTTTGGCAAGTGGCCGACCGGTCCCAAGTCACATCGCTGGGGTGATCCGGACCAGCAGTCTGAGGCCCAATCCCCTATGGTCACAATCAGACACTCAATAGTGCAAGCTGCGGCCTGCTGCCCTGCCGTGGAAATCAAGATAAGGGGTCCCAAGTAAACGCGCTGTAATGATGCGGGATCCAAAATAATTCGTCGCAATGGTCCTAACTCGAAAGCGGACTTGGGATAGATCTCCGGTCCCGAGCCTAAAATAGACTGCCGTAGGGGTCCCAGACCCGAGAATAAATCGCTGTGTCAGTCTCCGGAAAATAAGTCGTCAAAAATAAGATGAAAGCTCCGCAGCGCCTCTAATAGCCCCGGATTTGAAACAAGGTGCCACAATAGTGCCAAGCCCGAATTGGAATGCCGCGATGGCGCCGTACCTGCGATGGACCGCCGTCAAGGTCTGGACCCAGAGGTAAATCATCGCGGTGGTCTCGAATCTGATTACAAGTCGCTGCCGTGGCCCCAGGCCTGAAATAAACCGGTGTCGAACCCATGCTGAGTCTGGGGTGCCGCGTCGTCAAGCCAAACCGAACCTGAGGTAACCTGGCGCGGGAGTACCGAAGCTGGAATAAACCGCCACAGTGGTTCCATACCCGTAAGTAAATCATGGCAGTGATTCCGAACCTGAAGTTAAGTGACTGTAGTGGCCACAAACCTGAATTAGTGTTGCCTAGCTCTCACTCATATTAAACCAAGATCACGCCGGATACCGTAGGATGTAGCCAGTCCGTAATAATACCGAATCTCCCCGAGCCACGTATCCATACCAAGCCAAATACCATGCTGCCAGCCAAGGTGGCACCGCCGCATGCTGTCCACGCGACTTCCGCTTTCAGAGCACCCCAACTGCGGTAATGTTAGTAATCAAGCAAGCCAGGGAAAACGACGCAGGGAAGCTCGACCATCGGCAGTAGTGAAAACCGTTAGAGTCCAGAGAAAATGATCATTCCGGGGTCAGAGCTGACGGCGGGCAATTGAGGCGAAATCAGGTCAATCTCCCAGTAGTCATGGGTTCCTGTCCCTTTCATTGTTTTTAATCATCCTTTCTCTTTTCTTAATTCTATTGTCGAAAATAATAGATCAGCCGTAAGATCCCCAAAATTGATTTCCGAGAAAGTTTAAATAAAGGGCCGAATTTCTTTTGTTTCTTTTCTCCTTTTCCATTTTTAAATATTTTTCTATGTTTTTAAATTCATTGGCGGAATCATAAAATACAAGGGTTTTTCCCCCCTAGATTTACATGCCGTGTAAAATAAAGAAATCAAGGGATATTATGTTTTCCCCTTTTTTCCTACTGGTCTTAATCCCTTTTCCCCATCTCTAATTATGGTACTAAAATAGTTAAAAATTTGAGGCCTCATTTCGGCCCCGGTTGTATGCTTTAAAAACGTTGCGGCGAGGTCTGTTCCCGCGATGCCTCTCCGCGGCAGGCCAATTCGGGTCTAACCTCTGAACGGACGGAAATGATGGTCCCTAGATATGCCGAGTGCGGCCACCCATCTCACTATCTTTGAGGGCTACTCGTAAGGTTCAGTGTAGCCAAAGTCAGGGGTGCCCAAAGTTCCCCTAATTTTTGCTACCCAGTCGAACCAGAGTACCGTCTAAACACGGACTTGTCTTTGAGCCTAAGTCCCAAAGCCACAGATTTCAGGCGGCGCACTGCTTGTGGCCGCCTGACAGTTAGCCTGGACCACTTCTCGACGCCCCCATCGAGCCCTAACCACTCACGTCAAACGAAGCAGACGAGCTTTAGGGTGATTGTCCGTAAAGGACGCCCACGTCGGCGTTTAATTGTCTTAAGTTTTGGTTTGTTATGAGTTCTGGGGCTAAGAAGATGTTTCTTGACTTTCCTTTTCCTTCGGGATCTTGGCCTTGGTAGGCTCGTCTTTTTCTTTTGACGTGGGCCCGGGAAAAGTGTCGATCCGTCAGTTTGTCTAATGCGAACTCTCCATCTGACCCTCTTGAGCACGAATAACCATTTCCTCTCTCTTCCTAATGCCAACCCTTTGACCTTTCTTTTCTCTATTCTTTTCCTCTTCTTAGAACTTTTCCCTGCCTCGAATCGTCTTGAGGGGGCTCCATCCTCCATTTTGACCTTCCCTTTCCCTCTCCGACTTGTCAGCGATAAGGTGGGTGAAGGCCTGGGTCTAAACAACTTTAACCTAGCACCCGCCACTGGGTCCTTCCACTTGGATCCGTCTAATTCGGCTATCATATAGGCACCCCGATCGAGTGCCTCAACCACTCTGTAAGGTCCCATCCATCTGTTGGCGAGTTTTTCGGTCCAGGTCCTCTCCAGTGCTGCGTCGTAGAGAAGGACCATATCTCCTACGTTCACCCTCTCTTTCCTGATCCGCACGCTCTTATCCCGTCTCTCTTTGCCTTTGTACCTTTCCACTGCCAGACGATTTGCCGTTGTCATAAGGTTGTCTTCCAAACCGTAGGCTATATGTCTCGTTCGGGCAGCTATGAGTTCCTCTCTGGACATCTCCTCCGCCCAGTCGATGGTTGTCCAGCTGTCGACGTGAAACTCTATGAAAAGCGGACAATGCCGCCCAAACCACAAGGTGTATGGTGGGTATCCGGCGCTAGCCCGGACCGTGACGTTGTCCGCCCATATCGCGTATCGAAAATATCGTGGCCAATCACTGTCCTTACCTTTGCACCACTTGGATAGTGACGCTATTAAAGTCTGGTGTCCCCTCTCTAGTAGAGAGTTCGATTGTGGGTGGTAGGCGGTGGCTATCGAAACTCTCGCCCCGGCTCTCTCGAACACACTCTGAACCTCGCCCGCTAGAAATTTCGCCCCTCTGTCCATCATTATGTTGCCGACACAACCATACCTACATATGTATTCTAGGACGAACTTCTTCACTTCCCTTGTCGTCTTACTCCTTATAGGTCTACCATCCACGAACCCAGTGAAGTCGTCTCGTATGTTCACAACATAGTTCATATTGCCTACTCCTTTCGGCATCTTCACCAGGTCGATGTGTACCTTCTCTCCTGGCGTGGTTGGATAGGATGGATGAAGTGGCTCTTTGTATTTCACAAGAGCTCTCTTCTGGCACTCCTCGCAGGTCATACAGTATCTCTCGACGTCCTTATACTGCCCTTCCCACCAGTACAACCTGCGTACCTTTTCGTAGGTCTCTTTTACTCCTCTATGCCCTCCGACTACCCCGTCGTAGAGCTCCGCAACTATCGTATGTCTCTCCTCCGGATCACAGACTACTCGTAAGGGCATCCCCGAGCCGACCAGCCTTCGGAATAGATGGCCCACTCTAAGGCAGTACTGAGCCGCTTGTCTCCGGATATCTGAATCTTGACTCTCCTCTCTTGACAGGTGTAGCCTGATCGTTCGGTATTTGCCCTCGTAAAGGTTAACCAGAAATCGATCGGCGCGTCTCGGCTCTGCCATCGTCAGGGCTCCAGCTACTATCGGGCGCTCGGCCTCAAGAGGGATCCGAGAGAGCCCATTCGCTACGGCATTTTTAGTGCCGGATATCCTCTCGACTGTGTAATCATATAGCCGAATCCGTATTAACCATCGTACGATGGTCGGGTCCGTCAGACTAAAGTCCTTCTGGAGGACAGATGCAACCGCTGTGGGATCTACTCTTAAGATGAACCGCCGTCCGTAAATATAATGTCTGAACGTGTCTAGACACCGCAGAACAGCTAACACTTCCTTCTTGAATTGACTATAGTTACGCTCTGCCGTATTAAGTGTCATACTCTCAAATCTTAACGGTCTTTTCTTCCCTTCAGCGTCCTTCTGAGATAGCAGTCCTCCAACTGAACAAGGTCCAGCATCCGTTGATACTATGAAGGGTCTCTCGTCCTCATCGAGTTCCTGCGAAGAATCCTAGTAGAATTTCTCAGTCTTTCGAAGGAGTAACCTCAATGGCTCAGCCTTCTCCGCATACCTCCGTATGAATATCCGCCAGTAACCGACCACTCCCAGAAACTGTCGGACCTCGGTCGCACTATGCAATGGCGACGACCATTTTAGGAGCTTGTCTAGCTTCGCAGGATCCGCTCGGCGTCCTCTCGAGTCGCAGATAAAGCCTAAGGTCTTAATAGTAGAGACAGTCCACCGGCTCTTTGTTCCACAGACCGTTAAATTCGCATCGTCCAACTGCTCAAGTACCGCGCAAATATCTGTTAGGTGCTGCTCGATGAATCTTCTAACTCCTGGCTCGACCTCTGTCTCATCCTTGTTTACTGACCCTTTTATAGGAAAGTCATCCAGAAAAACTTCAAACTTATCAGGGATGAAGTCCTTGAGGACGGCTACCATGGCTCTCTGAAAAACGGTTACCCCATTAATCCAACTCATAGGGACGACCATCATCTGTATCAGTCTCAATGGAGTGTGCATAGCCGTGAGGTGCCTGTCCCTAGGATCAAGCGGTACCTCATCATAGCATGAGAACAAATCACAAACCGAATAAATCGACCTGCCCGCAGCGCCTTCAGTCAGTAAGTCGGCGTGTGCCACGGAGCCCACGTCTCGTATCGTCACCGCGTTGACCTTCTGAAGGTCCTGGATCCAACCGATCTTGCCATTCGGCTTTCATAGGCAGAACCATTGATTAGCATAAGTGCTATCAGACGGCTCCGCAACATGGGAAACCATCTTTTCTTTCAGGAAAGCGATAACTTCTTCCTTCTCCTTCTGCGCGTATTTCCATCTTGCGTCATTCCAAGGAACATGTGGAATCGTGTAAAGCCTTGCTGGCTTAGCGTATCGAGGGTCAACCCTACCGCGCTCCACGTCGCTGAAAGCTATAGCCTTATCGCGTGTCTTCAGGATCTTTATCACACGTTCTCGCTCCTGTGGGGTCAGATTTCCATCTCCGATGTCCATCCCTGCTATTCTCTCTTCCGTTAGGCGTTGCGGCTCCTTTTTCTTTCTTTCTTTGATTTCCTTTGTGATCTCTTCTTCCGATATTCCCTCCAATGCAGATCGCTCATAGCCCACCGCCGCTGGCTTAACTTTTTGAGCTACTCGCTTGTGCCGCTTGGGTAGCCCCCCATAGGGGGCTGTGCCCTTAAAAACGACACAGATACCACGCTGCCAAATTCCTCATCTGCCTCCTTTGGATACGAGTTGCCGTCCACTATCAGCTAACTCCCTAAATTTTCCACTTCTACAATCCGGCCTTCTTCTTCCATGAGCAGTGACCCATACTTCTTCTCGCGAAATCGCACCGCGCGAGATATGTAATGACTTAATCCGATCGCTGGGTCTTGCACCCACAGCGAGAGCTGCTCTGTTCCTCGGATCTCGAGGCTCCACAGTCTCAATCATAATTCGCGCCCCATCTAGCTTCTTGATGGACAATGTCTGACTCCCGTCCGTTCGCTCTATCGTTACCGCATGCACATGGCTCAACCACGTTCGTCCCAAAAGTAGGTTAGAGCTGCAATTCTTGACTGCAAAGACTGGCAGGGTTACACGTACCCCTTGGACCTCTATGGCTGCCTTGTGACAAACCCCTGTGATCTGTTGCTTTCTCCCATCAACCGTCTCTATCTCGAATAATGACAGCCTCGCTGCCGTATCGATCACAACATCTAGTACCGCTCTATCGTTTAGGACCGCCTCTACGGTCCCACTTCCAAGTATGTAAAACTTGTTTGGAGGCACACCTTCCATCCCATCAAGAAGAACTATCGCCATGCGATATGCTCTAGTTGTCACCTCCGATACTGCTACGGTAGGTGCATCCGCCTTTGGGGTCACCCGAGCCTCCTCTGATAGAGGTATGTGGGTCTTTCGCGTGATCATCTGTAACTTGTCGCGAGCCGGCTTGGATGCCGCCAGATATTCCAGAATAGAGCACTGCATGGGCTGCCGAAGGGCCCGTCTCAGTGGCTCGATCGTGTCAATCTTATCCAACGAACTCTTCATCAAGAACTTCTTCACTCCCCGCTTTCGAGGTGAGAGAATAATCTCCTCTCCATCGATCTGTTGTCCGTCCTTCTCCGTCATCACGTAATCTGTGTCAGTCTTCTTCGATGTAGACCTCCTTGCCGATTTGGTAGCTGCCACCCTTATGGGTGTAGTCGCCATATCTCCTTCGAAAGTTATTTTGATGCTCTGGCTCATAACCGACTCCTTCCCTCTACTCGGCTTTACTCTCCTTGCCTCTACATTCTCCTTCATCGAAAGGAACATCGATACGTCTCCCAGATCATCTTCCCACTTGACGTACTTGCGGTCATCAAGCACGACAAGTCCCTCATCCATTGTCCGCTTGAGATCCGGGCAGTCTCTCTTTATATGATCATCCCCTCCACAGTAGACGCAAGAGTTCCTGGGAGTGGGTGGCATGTCGCCTGCGCCCCTGGAGGTCGAACCTCTCACTGCTCTGGGTCAGGGGACTTTGTATGCAGATCAGATGATGCACCATATCCCCCTCTCTCATTCCGGCCGCGTGAATCATTGCGGCGGTCTCCTCCGGATCCTCCTTGCTCATATCATCCCCGTGAGTCATTCCGGCGGTCCCCATGGTCATATCGCCCGCATGAATCATCATGTCGGTCTCCTCGGTCGTATCGCCCGCGTGAATCATCACGTCGGTCTCCTCGATCGTATCGCCCGCGTGAATCATCACGTCGTTCTCCTCGGTCGTATCGCCCGCGTGAATCATCACGTCGGTCTCCTCGGTCGTATCGTTCGCATGCTCATCGCGCCGATCTCCTCTCTCATATCTACTACCCTTGTATCCATCTCGATTCGACCTCTCATATCTGTCGTCCCTATATCCATCTCGGTCCGATCTCTCATATATGTCGTCCCTGTATCTGTCTCGTCAGCCTGATCTGTCTCCCACCGGCCTCGGGAGTCGCCTCTACCCCCATCAACCTCATAATGAGGATTACGTGAGTAATCATCCAGCCTCCTAGCTCGTCCATACGTCTCGCGAGCTCTGCGGTCCCGGTCTATCTCATCATCCCTACGTCCCCATAGCTCATCGTTTCTCTCCCTTTCCCTCGCACAATAATTAGTCAGCGTCCGAGGATTTCTATCCTCGATACTCCTCCAGGAATCGGTGTTGACAAGGATGAGATCGACGTTACGGACGCCCATTTCCCCAGGATAGGGGTAGCAGTACGGGCATAGGAGGCAGAGGAGCACACTAGGCACGACGATTGAGTGAGCTTAGCGGCTGATATCAGTCGATAGTGGAGAGCGGATCGATGGTAGAGTAGGTCAGTGGAGTGGAGCTTCAGATCGACGATGCCAGATGGCCCAGACCTCCAGAGACAGTAGCCCCAGACAGGGTGGCGCTAGATCTGCCGGCCAGAGGGGTTTCCGCAGATGCGATAGAGAGCCGATGGTCATCGATGGTGTTGGCCCCAGACGTACACTTGTGGACGTACGTCATTGAGACATTCGAGCTTGGCAGTCAGGGGTGGCGACGACCTGGCACGACTGGTATAGAGGTAGTGGGGCACATTTACTACTCGCAAGAGGTGCTAGCCACGGTCTATTTTCACGGCCTCGTGCACGATCATTGGCAAGAGGAGAAGACCGCGAGGAGGATCTGGCTGGCTCGAGCGGACTCCGCGCACGGCGAGGTAGAGCGACTGCATGGGGGTGTTCGGAGAGTGATGACGACCTTCAGGATTGGAAGACACTTCCCATATCCTAGCAGTCGACTGCGTGTGACACTTTCGTGCTTTGTGGCAGAGGAGCTTTGGGGACTTAGGCGCCTGGGTGAGATCTACTTTGCGGCTCTTGACTTGGACGGCCTCTGTTGAGGGTACGCTGACAGGGACTGGGTGCTGTATGCGCAGTTTGTAGCGGGGCCGCTTGTAGGCGAGAGAGGGTTCCAGTTGATTGAGTTCCTGCGGGCCATTGTACCTACCGAGAGCCCTGACCTATACTCTCTGTACCAGCCCCTAGCCTTCTGGATGGCGCTAGAGAGAGAAGCTCAGAGGCCTACATATCATTTAGCTGGAGTAGGACAGCTGTTAGCCGAGACTCGTGAGGAGAGGCTGGGCCATCTCATCTCGACCGGGGAGGTTGAGGAGTATTATCGGCAAGTATATCCAGAGGCTGACGATCTTGCGTAGTACTCTGAGGATCGGGATTGGGAGGACTTCGATGACATAGACCCTTGGGGTGACCAGGACGAGGTCTGGGGAGATCTGGCGCAGGCCGAGGGACATGAGCAGGTAGGTTGAGAGGCGCCGTAGGAGGACGGTTGGGGGCACCTCCTTCGGGCTGAGGGATAGGAGTATATCCCATGGGGTCAAAGGGTAGATGAGGATGGAGGCGAGGATATGCCAGATGCATGAGACGACTAGAGGTAGGGCATATCCGAGTGAGGCTTAGAGAAGGGAGTAGTGGAGAGACGGTATGTAGACGAGAGTGGCAGTAATTGCAGGAAAGGATGGCAGACAGGGACATACTGAGAGTGACTCTTTCCCTACGACGAGATAGGACATGTGGCTGGGAAGATAAAGCGTTGGGCAATGTTGAGCGATATGTCAAACTCATGATGGAGCATGGCCTGGAGATACGGAGGGGCCAGAGGTACGTCGAGTTCACTATCTATTTCCATGGAGCTGATGGGAGAGTGCACAACACCTACTCGACCATACTGGATCTGAGTGGGAGAGTTGTCTGAGGAGTTAGCAGCATCGTGGGATAGCGTGCGTCGAAGGGAGTAGGGTGACACAGATCGAGTGGCAAAGTGGAGATGAGGAGTGACTCGTTGGCCTGGCTAGCTTATGTTCTCCCACGGGAGTCTGAATCCTATAGCGTGAGGAAACTTGTGAGACCCAGAGAGACGGTTGTTGGATACGATATTCCTCTTCCTGTGAGGCTGGAGGAGACAGGCTGTGTTCCGATACGTTACCTTGGAACGTGGCTGGCAAAGGGACTTTTCCTTTGGACGGTGATATTGAAAGATGGACGACCCGAGAGGACTCATGACCTACAAGGGGTGAGATATCTGATAGCGGATAGAGCTCATGATTTAGAGGTAGGGATGATACTTGCAGGAGCGAGCAAAGCTTGGTGGAGAAACGAGTTGTTGGCCAGGGTGATCGTAAATCAGCAACTGAAGAGACTCTCGAAAGGAATGGACATATTGGAGTCGCTTGGTATACGGTCCTCCGCATCCGATCCTCTACCCGAGAGAGGGTTGGCGATTCGGACTTCCTGCGTTCGTGATAGGCCAGACCTATGGGAGCGTAGATCGTCTAAGTATAGCAGTGGACCACACACTTTACGCGCTTTGGGAGGGCTTAGCTCCCCGTTTCATGAAAGAATACTTCGCCATTTGTGTAAGGTGGGGACCACCCAGCAGAGAGACGTTTGACGATATTATAGACGTTACTTCCTGGGTGGACTGTCTGAGGCCTGCCGATTTGATTAGGTACTGTAGGAGACGAGCGAAGATTGATTATGTGGGGCTAGAGGATGTGAGATTTCTCTTTGAGGTCGTAGCGTAGCGAATGCCGGGGAGGACGGCTACAGTGATGCGCGTAGAAGAGCAACTGGTAAGCACAGGGTACACTGTGACAGTACTTCTCCGAGCATACATAGATGAGGACTTTACGGCAAGGGAGAGCCGACAACGAGCCAGGGATTTGATCCACGAGCATAGAGCTGATGTACTGGCGTGGGTGACCTTCCAGACCTCGATTTCCTATAATGTGATGATATGGTCTCATAGTTATATGAGCGCGGAGCACTTCCACGATGAGACGGTAGCGGAGGCTAGAGCGAGGGTGTGAGGATGAGCTGAAAGGAGATGTGGACTGAGTATGAAGAGGAGAGTGAGGCGCTCGGAAGAGTGAAGAAGCGCATTAAACCACCAGTTCACGCCCCTGCCTATCCCTGCTATTGCAGTGAACTACACCCGGGTCTGCGCGCTTCGGCAGAGGCCCGGTAAAGCTTTGGGGCCTCTATTCTGGTGGTGCAATGGATGGGCGGACACCAAATGTGAAAACAATAAATACGGCAGACAATGAAAGCCGAAGTGCCAAGCTTCAAAAAAGGGACTAAAAAAGAAAAGAAATAAAAAGAGAAAAGAAAAAGAAAAACTTCTGAGGCCCGCCACTTGGGGGGTGGAAAAGGATTGTGAGGAAATAAAAAACCAGAAAAAAAAAACGAAGTCGGGGCAAAAGAAAAGACGAAAAGACAAGAAAAAAAAGGATCTGAGGGCGTACTCACACTAGCAGTATCTCAAATGTATCTGACAACGTTCACAGTCATACCTAGATGTATCTGGTTGTAATTCCGTCCAAAAATACGTAAGAAATCTGTGGTGTGAGTATGCCCTGAGTGTGGGTAGTGCCCTAAGCCCGCGACTGACGGGACAAAACGTCCTCTTAGTGATGTCAGGCGCCCTCCTGCCGTGATAGGCGGGAGGAAACATCAACTTCGTTTTTCCTTTTTTTGGTTTGATTTTGAGAAGCAACGAGCCAGACCCTCTGAATGTGGCCACAAACTCCAGAAACTTACAGTGTATCTTTGTGGAACCGACCGTATTTAGGGCATCCCTCCATTAGTCTCAACATGCAGAAACGACAAAAATCATGGCTGTATTTTTTTCCATCTTCTAATGGAAGATTCACTCTCGTTTTGCACATTTGCAGAGTAGTGGAGCAAGGCCCTTAGGGCATACTCACACTACCACTTTCCAGAATGCATCTGACTGCAATTGCACCCTCCCGCTGCCACGGATTTTTTGAATGTTTTTTCAGCCACCGATTTATTCAAATCTCTTTTTTTCCCACTTTTTTTTNCTTTTTTTTTTTTTTTTTTTTTTTTTCAGCCAATGCAGTTCATCCTTTTGTCTTATTCTTCAGCCTGACTGGCGTGGCACATGAGTGAAAACGGAGTAAAAATAAAAAATGAGATACAAAATTGAAAACAAAAAACGACCCATGGCCTGCTTTTCAGTCCATCAGCTTGCAGCAAGTCCAGCACAAAGAGGCCAGTACCCGCGCACTTTCAGGCTCGGCAAATTGATTTTTGGGATATTCAAAACAGCTATGGGTGAACTGGTGGTTTAAAGAACCACTCTGGAACCACGTAAAGGAGTTAGGGAACAAGATAAGGGAGATCGGGTTGTGCCAGGATGAGGGCAAGCTGCGTAAGGTTGAGCTCGTGACGAGGGCGTTAGAGAGTTTGTTCAGGGAGGAGCGAGAGAATATCCAGGCGAGGAGGTCAGACTTTCGGGAGAGGATAAAGGCTAGGAACCTATCGCGTCGTGGAACAAAGGAAAAATCTGCAGAGGGCGTGACAACGGAGGACAAGGTAAAGCAGGGA